AATTAATTGTCATTTTGCAGCTCTCCTTGTGCTGGAACAGGTTTATATTACTAAGGACAGGAGATCCTTCTTTCCTACCCCTTGAGGTTCTTTAGATAAACCAAGACTGGGCAGAGTTGTTTAGACCCAAGAGATTTTCCCCATTTTCCAAGGTGTATTGTTACCAAATGCATTAGAGGGCTCAAAAATAAGTTTTCCCATCTACTAGCCGGCAGTTGATGTCAAAGAAGGACTAGTTTCAATTTCACTCTCCCACAGCTTGAGAAAGTTATTTATTCTCACGCATTGGCTTTCCTAGAGCATTTGCCACTGCAGCATCTGAGCTCAAAGGTCAATCCATTCACAACAACCCTTAAGGGAAGGAAGTTTGATTAGCCATGCGCTCAAGGTCACATAGGAAGCTCATGGCCATGCCAAGAACAGAAGCCAAAAGTCAGCTGAGTTCCAGGTGAGTCTAATCATCCTCTTTCTCTCTGTGGCCCCAATTCAGCAAAGCGCAGGAGTATTATTCAATCTCTATTCAACAAGACACTTGAGCATGTTTTTAATTTTAAGCACATGCTTAAATCCTACTGAAGTCAATGGCTGAGCAGGGATTGGATTACTGGTGTGCTTAAAGCTAAGCATGTGCTGAAGTGCTTTATTGAATAGGGGGCTATGAACAGAAGCAGATGCACTGGAGTTATTTGAATGCAGATGATGGAAAAAAACACTGAATTGGGGTTACATTTGGAAGGCTTCTCACAACCATGGAGGGTTGAACTGTAGTATTTAATTCTATAACTATAGACCTGCACATATTGGTCATTTAGCCCAACTAAGCCATGATCACCAGCTGCTAACTGCAAGTATTTCCATTCTGTAGGTCTTGCTGCTTTTCAATGGAATTCCCATAGATCAAACAAGAATCTTTCATTCTGGCAATTCCAAAGCACTGGAGGAAACACGGAGTTCTATTAATGACACCAAGGCAGGGGGAGAAGGCTCAGGGGTGTACTAGCCACCCAAAAGCACGTCCAGTTCCTGCAGGAAGCAGGCTGGACAATCCATATAGGTAACTGAGGTTCGACAGATACACGGGATGCCTCTCTCATCAACAACACAAATACTAACCCCTAGAAAGCAAACCCGCCATTGCATCTCATCCTGAACACCATTACCCCTTTACTTAGCATCACCACTTTCCTTTGTGTCCTGCCCTATTCTATAGGCCATCTCCCCTCAGTTCTTTTCCTGGACAGCGGTTTTGTATCTAAATCTTATTTCACTCAGTCTCCCTAAGGAAGGATCACATTTCTCAGCTCAGGTGTTCAAGTGTCTTTTGGTTTAACTCACTAACCACACATTGTCGCATAAAAGAAAGGGACATCAGATTAGCCTGGGTTAGGCTAAACGCAGGGAGAGACATCACAGCCATATATTTTCCAAGAGAAAGACTCTCTCTCCACACGCTTCCCATCATGCTCACTAAGCCAAAATTAATGCCGATTTAAACTCAGCTGGAGAGTTTCCATTTGGCTTTGTATTTGACAGGAAATAAGTACCTGGAAAAGCCCACCGTGCATTATTTATTATTTAAGTGCTGATCGTATGCTTGGTGCTGAACAAAAACACAATCGGAAAGATTAAGAATAAATAATACATATATTTTTCTATTATTACTATTGTACTGGTATCACCATTTTGATTCAGGACAAAAACCGAACAATACTATAAAAAATTAATTAGAAGGTCTGTAAAGGACAGTAACACAAAAGACCAAACTGATAACTTCCACCAAGATTAGGAGTCTGAAGTCTTCTGACAGTACAGTGGTGTTAGTAACCACGGAGGACTAGGAAGAGGAGACTTAAATATATATATATATATATATCCTGTCAAGGAACTAAAAACATCCATGTTGGTCACTGCCATGAAGACCGAAATCAAGCTCTTGGAATCTTCAACTAATTTCAAGCTATATGTAAGCAGGTGCAACTTTGTTTGAACTCAACTAAATTGCAACTGCTTCCACCCAGTCTGCATTTGATGCTTCATTGTGGATTTCCTGAATGTGTGCGCATTTTAAAGTCTTCCCCCGAACATTGTACTAATACTGGGTTTCATTTAACGTCCGTATGAGGGTGTGATATTGGCCTAGAGCGCCATGAAGCAGTCATGCCCTGGATGGATATGGTAGGCCAAAGACTACGTGAGTACAGATCCATGTGCCCATTTGCAGCAGAAAAACTGACCTTGCACTGAGTGTTAATATAAAAAAAACTAGAGATGAAGATGCTTGAGTGAGAGGCAACATGTAATAGCTAGAGTTAATTGGCCACTGGGACAGTTATTAAGGGAAATACCAAATTAGTCATAGCTCGGAGTCTTTAAAAAATCAAGACTGGGTGTTGGTCTAAATATATTCTCAAGTTCAACCACAAATTACTGGGCTCAATAGCATTCACTTATGTTAATACGCAAAGAATAATTTCCTCCACTGCAGAAATCACTGGCTGAAGTTCAAAGGCAGACTAGCTGATCATAGCTGTACTTTCCAGCTTTCAAAGTCTAGGCATGGACAAGCTTATTCCGTGCCTCTTTAGAAGAGGGCGTGAAACGTCACAAAGGAACTCGGCAGACGTAGACAAGGGTCATTCCTAACTGCCATGATGTTCACACCACCTTAGGGATTCCACAACAGCAATGCACTTGGCTACTTTTAGGGGGGAAAACTGAGCCTTTCCACTGTTTCTTTAGAAACCAGGTCTGTCCCTCCCTGTACAACAGAGTCAGGTACAGTTCTCTAGTAATTAGTTTGTTAGCCTACCCCACTTACGTCAAATCTATTCTGCCCTTTTGCATGCTCTAACTAGAATTGTAAGAAGATAAATAAAGGTGAGCTTGGGGGACTATTGCATGCAATAGTTATTTTGTTATTCTACAGATACTCCACACGTTTCATATATTGTGAGTTCTGCATTGCTACACCTCATGATTATATTGCAAGTGTCACACTATTTAGTATCAGAGGGGTAGCCGCGTTAGTCTGGATCTGTAAAAAGCGACAAAGAGTCCTGTGGCACCTTATAGACTAACAGACATCTGACGAAGTGGGTGTTCACCCATGAAAGCTTATGCTCCAATACGTCTGTTAGTCTATAAGGTGTCACAGGACTCTTTGCGGCTTTTTACACTATTTAGTGTTATTCTTAAAGCCTTAGCACCTGGAGTCATGGTGAAAAACCTCAGTTTTCATTAAAATAATAGAAAGGAATTAAAAAATAGCCCTTCATCTTGCAGAGAAAGCCTGGGAAGGTAACCAGAGTGCACCCGAAGGGCTCAGAAACTAAATAAAAGAACACAAGAAATATTGTTTAATTAAAAAAAATTCTCATGATTTTTAAGCCAATTGTGATTTTTTTAAATGAGAGGTTGGCAACATCAGGAGTATGATGCGTCAAACTTTAGCACGGAGCACTCCCCAAATCTTGTGCTTGGTGCCTTCCAGCTCCTGGCTCCAAATGCACATCCGCATCCCCTGGAGCGCCACCAGCCTGGTTAGGAGCAGGGAGGGTGCAGTCATGGAGAACCCATCACTCCCCTCCAGAGGCTGCGCCTGGGAGAAGCTGTGGGCGGAAACTGAATGTTCAGGGAGAAAAGCAGGCCAGGCTGGGGAGAAGCAGCCTAAGCGCCCCCCCCCCCCCCGAAGAGAGTCTTTGACCCGCCGGAACAGGGAGGTCTAACCTCACAGCACACTACTCAGTGTGGCCCCTACCTTACTTGGCCCTCTTCTGCTCGCAACTTCTACTGGGGTATGGAACCAAACTCATCATATAGGACAATTAGGGGCACGTGACATCCCATCCAGCCAGGGACTTGCCTGTCCCCAATCCTTCCCAAAGCCAGAGAGAGACCCCCTCTGCCGCCAACGTGAGACTTGCTTCTCTCCAGGTTATCATAGCCACCCCAACAGAGGGGGGAAACCCTTCCACACAACCAAGAGAATACCTCCACCCAGAGCCCTGTTTGCTCCCAAGAGAGCCCCTCCAGTGCCCCCTACCCCAGCCAGAGCCGTCTGCTCCCCCCCAGCCACAGATCTGTCCCCAAAGGAGGTGCCCACCCCTGCCACAAACTTATTTGCTCCCCAACACCTTCCCCCTTCCCTCCAGTGAACCACCTCCACCCATAGCCAGGGGAATACCACACCCCACAAACAGGGGGACATCACCCCAAGCCCTGTCTGTCCCTCAGCAAAATCTTCATTAACCTCTACCCCAGCCAAGGACCTGCCTGTCTCCCTCCTCCCAACACCCCCCTTCTTCAGGAGTCAGCCCTAATCTCTAGCTGGGGGGATACAACTTCCCACACCCAGGGGGCTACCACCATAGAGAGCCCCATCTGCCCCCCAGCACAACCCTCCAGCACTCGACACCTCAGCCGGAGACACCCCCCCATTTCCTCCAGGGATACACCTCCATCCCTAGCTAGAGGGGATACCACACCCCACAGCCAGGGGGATACTTCCACCCAGAGCCCTGCCCACTCTCCCAACAAGCCTTTCCAGCACCCCCAACCCCAAACAAAATCCCCCACTTCCTCCAGGGTACCAACACCCCCACAGCAGGGAGATACCACTCCCATCAGTGATCCCCACTTCCTCCAGGGAGCTGACACCCCCCACAGTTGGGGGATACCACCCCCTCCAACACCCCTACTCAAAACACCCCCTTCCTCCAGGGAGGTGACACCCCCACCCAGGGGGATACCACCCCCTCCTCCAGGGAGGCGACACCCCCACCCAAAACACCCCCTTCCTCCAGGAAGCCGACACCCCCACCCGAGATACCCCCTTTTTCCAGGGGGCCGACACCCCCACACGGGGGGGATACCGCCCCCACTTCCTACAGGGAGCCGACACCCCCAACCCAGGGGGATCCCGCTCCCTCCAGCGCCCCCCTTCCTGCGGGGAGCCGACACCCCCCTCGGGGGATCCCGCGCCCCCCGGGAGCCGGACTCACCTGGCTGGGGGAGGTTCCGAGCCCCGGGACGCGGCTGCAGCAGCCGGGACGCGCCAGGTGGCCCAGCCCCGGCTCGGGGGCGGGGCCAGGCCCTTCACCTGCCCGGGCTCGGGCGCGGGGGAGGGCAGCGGGGAAACGCCGCCGCCGCCGGGCACAGGTGTATCCCGGCCGGCGCGCCCCGGCCACCGCGGGGTCCTAGCGCCGCCGTCTTCCGCCCTGCCGGCCGCCGCGGGGTCCTAGCGCCTGCCGCGTGACAGGCTCCTAATGGCGGGGCAGCCACACGCTCCTGGAGGTTCTGGTGTGAGTAGCTCCCATAGGGTCCCAATGCTGGAGCTGTTGCAAGGTGCTATAGGGGCCCTAATGCCTGGGGCTCCTATAGGGTCCTGATTCTGGGTTTGATGCAGAGTGCTATCGGGTCCTAATATCTGGGGTTCCTAATGCTGGGACTGCTGCTGGGTCCTAGTGTCGGGGGCTCCGGTGGGGTCCTAATGAGGGGGCTGCTGCAAGGTGCTATAGGGTCCCTAGTGCCTGTGGTGCCTATAGTTTCCTAATGCTTAAGAGTTCCTGACTTGGCCTTCAGGGAGTGGGAGGGAGGTCAGGGAATGTGCTCCTTCAGCGTGCCAGGTTTCACATTCAGACTCTTGTGAAAAGGATCAGAGGATCCCAAAGCACAAGGGGCCAGGCCCCTCCATTTCTCTAGCACCCCACAGCGCTATATGAGAGTTTTATCTTCATAATAATTCAGAGGGAAGAATGTCACAGCTGAATTATCAACTCCTGCTTGAAGCATCAAGCTGTTTCCTTGGAGGTCTCCTATTCAACTACTTTCCAGAGCTAAAATGATTTATTATGTGAGAGCTGGTAGGCTCCCAGCGGAAAGTGTCAGGGATGTAAACAGTAAAGATGCTGGTGGAGGGATATGGAAAGATGTCACAGTAAATTTGCCGCGGCAGCTTCTACTTTTCTGTCCTCCACTCTTTCCTGGTTCTCCTGGTAAATTGTTCTTTGGATTCTCCGTTTAAATCAATGCAGCTGCTCTAGTCGGCATTTCTCATCTAGTGGGTTGCGGCCCCCAGCGGGGTAATGAAAAGCAACTGTCGGGCACAAGGCATTGAAAATTTTACTACAATCCAGAGCAAAGAAAATCTCACTCCGACATCCTTACCCTTCGAGGTCAAATATTCTCTGCTAGCCTCTCAAGACCCACATGCACACACTATCGAACAGGGGTTCTCAAACTGGGGGGGTCGCGAGGTTATTACATGCAGGGTTGCGAGCTGTCAGCCTCCATCCCAAACCCTGCTTTGCCTCCAGCATTTATAAGGGTGTTAAATATATAAAAAAGTGTTTTCAATTTATAAAGGGGGGGGTCGCACTCAAAGACTTGCTTTGTGAAAGGGGTCACCAGTCCAGAAGTTTGAGAACCACTGGACAAATTGGAGAGAGTCCAAAGGAGAGCAACAGAATGATAAAAGGTTTTAAAAACTTGCCCTGTGATGAAAGGTTAAAAAAACTGGGCAAGTTTAGTCTTGAGAAAAGAAAGCAGAGGGGGGACCTGAGAGTTGTCTTCAAATCTGCAGTTATGGAGAGGCCTGTAGTCAGTTCTTCTCCATAACCCCTGAAGGTAGGAAAAGAAGTAATGAGTTTAATCTGCAACAAGGGAAATTAAGGTCAGATATTAGGAAAACAAAGATTTTCCTAATATCTTTGGAGCCCCTGTCTTCCTTTAGATCCCTTTCCAAGGCCCATTTTCAACATTACAGTCAGCTGTTGGTTTATAGTGGCTAGGCAATTTGATCATAGGGCTAACGGAGAACATTAATAATGCTTGGTTTCAGAGTAGCAGCCGCGTTAGTCTGTATCCGCAAAAAGACAGGAGTACTTGTGGCACCTTAGAGACTAACAAATTTATTTGTTAGTCTCTAA